CCACATGGTATGCGATGGGCAACGGCGTGGGGTTGTAGATGATATGCTGCGCGGGCTGTCCTGGGGAAGCAGATCGACGTACCGCGGCTCCACCTCGACGTCGGCGAAGATGTTGTAGTGGCTGAAGGAATTCGGGGGGTTCAACCAAATCTACAGCTGTGTCAAAAGTGCGCTAGAAGCCTAATGACGAACCGTGAATAAAGTGGGGGGCCCGGTTTTGGCGCCTTCGAGTCCTTTGAATCGTTCGAATTCTCGGCGTCGCCCATTTTTTGGGAGGCTGTAAGACGTAATGAGGGGTATTTCGTACCATAAACAATTTGGATAGTTTATGCCAATTTATGATTTAAATCATGGATTAAAACAATGAATCTGGAGTTAAGGCAAGCAACAGAATTGGGTTAACAGTTTCTCGAAAAGTCAAAGTTAATAAGCGTTAGCTTAAAATAAGCTTGTATAACTTAAGGGAATTATTTCAGGGTAGTAATTGTGGTAGATGAGGATGAGGAGAGACTGTTCTTGTCCGGCATGACCTCCTTGACGACGATCGGCACGATGTCACCGCTGGCCACGCGCGCGTTTTGGATCGGATAGTGCTAAAAAGGGTTAAGTTTTGAGCATAGCCAAAGCTTAAGTCAAGCATAAGCCAAGCCTAAGCCAAGCCTGAGCCCAACTTAAGTGAAGCCTAGGCCAAGCCTAAGCCAAGCCTAGGCGAGCTTAGGCCAAACCTAAGCCATGCCTAGGCCAAGCCTAAGTGAAGCCTAATTCAGGCTTAAGCCAAGCCTAAGATCAAGCTTAGACATACCCACCCTATGACCCCGTAGATATCTCCCGCAAAGCAGCCCCCTCAACGCCTTCAGCGGGCTACGGTAGGGCACGAAAAAGGCCATGCAGAGGATGACGAGATACCCGGGGAACAACACGCTGAACAGCTCCACGTAGGCCGGCATCTAAAGCAAATGTTCTTCCCCAAAAATCTCTGCTTATTTGCCGGTGAGCATGACCTACCGTCGGCCAATCGAGCACAAAGTTCTTGATGTCCTTGCTGGTGAGGGGCTGATAGATGACGGTCAGCGCGAAGCGCGAGTGGATGACTGGAAAATTGGATTTTAAGGGGATTAAAGGCTTGTATAAGGTATACGGTACGATACGACACGATACGATACGCTACGTTACGATACTGCAGGGTACACTACGCTACGATACGAGATATTACACCTACAGATACGGTATCCCGCGTACGCAACAAGGGCACACACGAAAGCGGCCGGCTTGTAGTACTTCTTCATGCTGATACGGAACGAGGCCGCGCACGCGCCGAAACAGAACTGAAAGGTGGTCGGTAATGTTTCGCACTACCCTGTCCGCAATTTTCTCTGCTAGCCCTCCTCAATCCGCTCTACTTCCACTTACCATTAGCCCAATAGCCAGCGTAGCCACGTGTAGAAGCAACGGTAGTACGGTAATCAGCGCGGAGACCCCGTGGAATACGGTAGCATTTTCCACCCAATACAGTAGCACAGCCAGAAATACGGCAAATATGACAATTATCAGGTAGGCAAGTCTAAATTGACGCTTTTTAAGTTTATTGCCTTCGACCCAATTTTCCGCAAATTCCCTTACACTCCGCTGTACGGCTTCTTGTCGATGAAGCCGAACATGTGGGTGGAGATGTACAGAAAGGTGCAAATGGGTCCCGCCACGAACGATACCGTACCCAGCAGGTGCCACACCCGGAATTGGGTGGGGTAACTGAAAAGCTGGTTGTTTAGACGTAACCTACGCCAATGCCGAAGCCGAATCCAAGCCTAAAGCTAAGCCTAAGCTCGAGCTAAGCATAAGCCTAAGCCTCATCTTAAGCCATGTCAAAAAATTATTAGAATTATCGCAAGCAAATGATAATTTACAATAGCAACCCTACCCGATTCCGAGATACGACAGCGGCACATCTCCCAAGCAGTTCATGGAAAAGCAGCAAAACCGTTTGCAAGAACGGAATCAACACGAGCGCCAAGATGAACCCGTTCGAGTAGAAACGATCGGAGCGCGCGGATGCCAGCAGCGCGAAGAAGATGTAGCCGCACAGCGCGAGCAGCACCACGTTCAAGTAGTTCAGATAGCCTGAACTTGCTCAATTCGTTTGGGGGATTATACAGGACTTGGAAAAGCCATACGGATATTAGGTGCTTGCGCATTATTGGGGGAGGGGGATCACGGCTAGCCACCCACCGCAGGTGAACGGCTTGAGGGTGGCGGCCAGCCAGCCGCCCAGCTCGGTATCGTTTTGGAGTATGGTGTGTCGGTAGACGATATACGAGTCCATTTTATAAATTTAGGCTGAAATAATAAAATGGGGATACGAGAATAATAGAGTGGAAGTGGGAATTTTGGAGCTTTCGGGAGGTTCTGGCAGCCGAAGTGGGCAGGTGTTTGGAGTGTTGCTGCGGAGACGGGGCAGCTGAATTTTCAGGGCGGGCACGTCAAGGGATGGTACTGTACCTGGCGGGGTTTTTTTTCGGAAATTTCATAACTTCCTTGTCAGGGGGCAATTAGTGATCGAGACAGGAAGACAGAGCCAGAGAGAACAAAGAGAAAGAGAGAGAGAGAGCGATAGAGGGAGTGAGAGAGAGAGAATGAGTAAGTGAGAGGGAGCGAAAGAGAGAGAGAAACAGAGAGAGACAGAGAGAAAGAGAGAGGGAGAGAGAGTGAGAAAGAGAAAGAGACCGAGACAGAGTGAGAGAGAGAGAGAGAGAGAATGAGTAAGTGAGAGGGAGCGAAAGAGAGAGAAACAGAGAGAGAGAGAGAGAAAGAGAGAGGGAGAGAGAGTGAGAAAGAGAAAGAGACCGAGACAGAGTGAGAGAGAGAGAGAGAATGAGTAAGTGAGAGGGAGCGAAAGAGAGAGAAACAGAGAGAGACAGAAGGAAAGAGAGAGGGAGAGAGAGTGAGAAAGCGAAAGAGACCGAGACAGAGACAGAGACAGAGACAGAGAGAGCCAGTCAACCTGCCGCCTTAAAGTCCACACTTCCGCTCTTTCAAATCGTCCATCATTCCTGGCTTTATTAAGACGAATCAGAGACGAAAAGGCGGGTATAGTAGCAGCTCGAGAAAGTGGGTGAAGACGTTGGGGGTGTGGATGGGGAAACAGAAAAACGAGAAAGCCAACGAGACAGGGGCAAGCGGGGGGCAACGAGTAATTTTTGATGATTTCATGCTTTGGAGAATGGCTGTTGAGTGGGGAGGGAAGGAGGGCAGTAGTAGGGCATGGCAGGTGGGGTCGATCCATCCGAGGGACACGACCACGAATCTTCAAATTGCCGTTGTCGGGCATTCAGTCCTGAAAAACAAATTCTAGAAGGTCAATAATACCAAGTTTATAAAAGGGTTTAAAAACTAACGCGACGCGCGCACTATCTTCTAATGGAAACCGACGACTCCAAGGTGGTCAGCCGGCTTGGCCATATTCATGGCGAATCCAGACTTTTTTGCCGGCCTTTTGTGTCAAATCACGAAAACCACTTACAACTGTAATGTCGGGGGCTTCATGGTGGGCCGCGACGGGCACTTGGCTGTTGCTGTTGCTGTTGGTGGTGGTGATATTGGTGGTGGTGGTGGCCGACGGGCTGGGCGAGATCTCTTTCGCCGTGGAGACGCCCGACTCGGGTTGTTGCTAAAGCAGGAGGTTTCTTCTGAATTTTTTTGAGTTACCGATGTTGAGGGTGCCGTTGGGGGAGGCTGAGCTTCGGGGCCCGGCGGGGCGATCGGGGCTGGCGCCTCGGCAGCTGGGGGCTCTTTCGGCGCTTCCGGTACGGGTATTGGGGCTGAAAAAGATGAGATTGGTGATTACTAAGACTTTTGCGAAAGTAAAAACTCCAGTCCTTACCCGGCTGAGCCTCAACCGGAGCCGGCGGTGCTTGCGTCGGCGCAACAGGGGCCATTTGTACTTCCGGTGCCGGAGTCGGGGCTAAAAGTACGCCATTTTTTTAGATCCGCAAAGCCGGAAAACTCACTTGGCTGTGCGGGCTGCTGTGGCGGTTCCTGGGGTACGGTAGGTGGGACAACCGATGGGATGGGCGCGGCTTCCGGGGTAGGGGCCGGAGCAGGAGCTGGTGCAGGAGGTGGAGGAGCAGGAGGTCGGGGAGGAGCCGGTGCCACGCATTCCGATGAAACGACCGCCCGAAGGGGCGCAGGTTCCTTTAAAGGGAATGGTACTCAACTGTTATCGGGGGGGGGGGTTAATTAGGGTTTGTATATCAACTTGTAAAGTGCTAAAATTGTTGATATAGAAATCAATACGCAAATAAATCCGGACGGAATCAATATATTCCTCCCCCCGCTAACAACCCAGTACCTAACTACGCGCCCTCCCGTAAAAAGGAGTTGAGCGGAGCAGTTGTCTTACCACCTTTAAAGCCAGGCAAACCAGCAAAGGCCCTTTGCCGATTGCCGCCTCCCATCAAACGTACGTGTACAGTGGTGGCCGTCGATGTGGTAGATGTACACGCGGTCGTGGCCGCCACCGTCTGCTGCGCCTGCGGACGCCGATAGAAGTACCACCAGACCGCCGCCGCCAGGCCCGCCACCAACGCCACCGACAGGCTGAAGCAGCGCAAAATTTGCATAAAACCCCCGAACCAACCTCATTTTTAAATGGGAGTATAAAATGGTGGAGTGTCCGCTGGGGATTTGCCCCGGTGACGAAAGAGAGCCGGATGAAATTCCGGATGCAAATTTCAGATTCAAATTCTGGATGCAAATTCAAGGTACAAAAGCTTCGAAGCTCGAAATATTTATTCAGGAACCCAAAAAAAACACAAAAGCACCGGGATGAGATCGTACCAGCGGAAGTGGGGTGACAATGTATAAAATTTATAGGTTCTTTGGCAATATCGGGGGGGCAAACTTTTTCGAAAGATCTAGGTTTTCCAATATAAAGCGAGAAAGTGTTTCTAGACACTTTCTTGCCATTTCTAAGCGTAAAACAAACAAGTTTACTAAAAACCACAAAAAACGGTTTTTTCTATCAAAATCGATTTTTTTCTAATTCCAAGCCCTACATTTTCTAGGTTTTCGAAATTGTGTTTTCACTATAAATTCATCTAATTTTTCCAAAAAAATGAATCTCGTATCTGGACCTACAGCCCCCCGATATTGCCAAAGCTCCAAACCACGAATTATAACGGACGAATAGCACCAAATTACGAGAAATTTGAAGGCCGGAACTTGTATTCTACCATTGACGGTGCCGTCGATTTTCGCTTGATTTCTGAAAGGGTTTTCGTTTTTATTGTTTTTTGTTTTCTTTTTTGGTTCAAGGTCTTCCGGTTTCCGGTAGAACCCTCATATACACCCACCGGAATCCGTGGAAATCGTGCTGCTGTGGACGCGTTGCGCGTAGCAGCACCAGCCGCGCGGCACGCCCAGCCAGTCGAGGAACAGGAATCGAATCTGGAAAAAAGTTTAAAATTGGCCTGAACCTTGGTACCTGATAATCGATGACGAAGGACACGATCGGGTCCAAAATGATCCTCAGCATCATCGAGCCACGCACGAATGCTGCAAAACGACACGGTTCTTTCGCATTATCGGGGGGCCTCTTCCCATTTTTCAAATGCAAATAGCTTTTCGACATTTTTTTCTACTAACAATAATTAAGAGCTCACAAACTTCACAAATGTTATGGAAAGTCCAAAATCTCTTTTCTTTTCGACGGGAAATTTGGAATTGTCAAAACGTTTAAGATACTTTTTCCGCTTGAAATATGGCTAAATTTTATTAAAAACACAATTAAGATACTGACTATTACGTTACTAGAAATTTCTGGACGTATATAAAATGCGATGTCGTCCCCCCGATAAAAGAAAAGAACTAAAAAATATTTCTAAATTTTTAAATTGGGTTCCACAACCTTAAAAATAAATTATGCTCATTTATTGAAATATTATTGTTACGGAATCAAAACGGGCTATTTTCATTTTAAAAACTTACCCAATAATCGCATACTCTCCATGTAATAGAGCTGAAAGTGGCAATGGGAGGAGCTGAGCAGGAAGATGCTCCTGAATATCAGAAGATGAATTTTTGGAGAAACCTCTGAATTACCAGATGACATGTGGCGCGTGGAGGACGGCAAAGGTGCTCACCCCCAACGCCAGTTTCCAGAGCGGAAATCTAAAAAAGATGGCTAAATTCAGTTAAATTCCAAAAAAATAGTGTAAGAGAAAACTGACCTTGTCACTTTTTGACGGCCATTTGAAGTGGTGGATTGGCGACGAGCGTCGAACAAATTGCCCTCGGCCTTTTTGAGTAGAATCACTAAAAGATTAATAGTAACGGGTACTGCTGCATTATAGGGGGGGGGACAGATTTTTTCTGGAGGTTCAGAAATGGCTACTAAATTCATGGAAATTATCTTAGAGTATTTTTGGTAAAACATGCTGTATTTAAAGCTAAAAGATCTTTTAAAAATTTTGAAAAAGAAAAGGTTATCCTAAATCAGCCTTTTTGAATTTTTAATAGAATTTATCAAGTTTTTACGTTTAGGAATAGAGAAAAATCTTTTAGAAACATTTGTACTATTAATATTAAAAAAATCCCCGATAATGCAAAAGCCCCAGAATCTGTTACCAATTAGGTATTTAAAAAAATTACCAGTCGTCAAGAAGACAACGATCGTGAACGCGTAGACGAAGCAGGTGAACGTGTTGCGCGAGCGGTACATGATCCGCAGACAAGTTTCCGCTTTGCACCTAAAGACGTTGTTAGTATTGGCCTGGCGTTTCTTGCCCCTCCCACTCGCTCATCCACTGCACGCGCACCAACGCCGTCACACCCATCGTCATCCCGCAGATAATCACAAACGCAATCCAGCTGGAAATGGGCACTAATTTATACCTATAAAAGTTCCAGGAAATTTACAAAAAGAAAAACCGGTTCAATAAATTTACTTTACAAATACAAAATTTAAT